ACAGGACAAGTAACCTGGTTTCTTCAACAAAAAGTTCCAAGAAAAAGTTAAAAATAAAGCAACTAGGGGAAGATTTTTTTAAAATACAAGAGACATATCAACCGGTTGCTGTGTGGAGCTTATTTAGATCCTGATTCAAATTATTTAAAAAATACAGGAGAATCAGAAATTTGAATATCAGCTAGATATTTAACATATAAAAGAATTATTAACTTTTGAATGGGATGATATTGTATTTATAAAGACATACATATATATGTATGTGGAATATATATATATTCATTAGGTTTAGAGTATGTGTTGAAAATATTCTAAATTATATGATGGCCAGAACATGAAGTGATCATTATTTTATCCGGATGTTGGGTACTGGGGGTTTATTTTGTTTTTGCATATATTCGAGATCTTTTACAACATAAAGATAGAAATATATACATATATGTACATTTTATGACATGTATCACTTTAAACTTTTTTTAGGGATGGAATACTTTGCATTTATTAGACACTCCTGCATCCTCCTAAAACAGATGTGACTCATCTGGCTAAGAATTGGAGCCAGAAGAGTCTTTCTAGTGTTTTTTTCCTCACCAAACTGTTTATATACATCTTATTTGTTATACTAGAGCTGACAGATATATTATTTATCATTAGATCACGTGTTACATATAAACTATGTCATTTTATTTTATTTTGTAAAAAAAAATAATAATTTATCGGGTTGAGACTAAGGATCTTGGAGTGACCGGCTCTCTTAGTCTCCCCTTGTTTAATGGATTGGTTCGTTTGGTGCAGGGGTCTGGTCTGGCCACAGCCTAGAGAGGTCGCTTGAGTGATGGAAACCGGAGCGGAGGGAGCTGTGGCGTACAGGAAAGCATGGCCCAGCCCCTAGGGCTGGTTGCTATGCAGGATATTTGCCATGGGAATAAGAGCTCCGTGTTACCAGAGCTCCATTCATTTTCGTTTTTTTTTCTGAGAATAACTCTAAATCTAGATCGTATGTGACATCTTCTAATTTTTAATCACTTAAATATTTTTAGAACGCCTTGTATTCCAAACCAAACAACTTGAGCAGCTGAATGAGTCCCATGGGTCAACCTCTGATTTAGTGTCTCCCAATGGTAGGGCCCTAAATAAGACCCCTTGGGCACTGAACTATTCAAGTCTTATGGCCCTGCTTTCTGTGAGCTTCCTGTCTAGTTGGGAGGGGGAGACATACTTGAAAAACAAAGAGAGGTGTAAATAGGAAGTGCTAGGGGAATCCAGGAAAAGGGGTGACTAGCTCTATCTGGAACTTCAGGGGAAGCTTCCCAACAAGCTGTGGAAGGGGTTGGGAGAAGCACCGGTGCTTAGTAGGTAGATGGCAAAGGAGAGAAGCAAAGGCGTGGGCGTGGGCAAGACCAAGAACTAGTAACAGGAAAAACCACCCTTTAAGAAGAAAGTTGGTGGATTTCACAGACTGGGGTCCCTCCATAGCCCATTGATGGAGTATTTTTCAGGCCAGGATGGTGTTCTGAACAATCAGGTGAAAATATGCAGCGAACATTTGAAAGTATGGCACTGAAATCCAGCTGAGAATTTGAGCTACAGAGTTGATCATCTGTGTAGAAGTGATGCTTGATGTCATGGGGTCTATAGAGACTGTGTTTCTCTGTCTGCCGTGAACAAGTGGTACGTTTATAAATACAGGGATGCCCTCCGAGTCTGGCATTTGCAAAACTACCAACCAATTATTCCCTACATTAAAACTTATTTTAAGCCCAAAGCAGTACCCAATTACTTCAAAAACATTCCCCACGCTGAGAAAGAAAAATTTGGAGTGATGGAAACTAGAAGTATGTGGGGAAAGAGAAACTCACACTTGGAAGGATATGCCTGTGATAATGGCTTTATTTATAGGTTTATGATCTCCTTTCGTTGATGGTTTAAACTAGAACTTTTTTTTTTTACTGTTATAAAAAGATTAAGAAATGGAGATATTTAAACAGATTCATAATCTTCCATATCGATGCTACGTAATACATTTGGGCAGCATTTTTATTCTTTCTCTCTTATTCGAAAGTTTAAAGTGCATTTGTCTTAAAAATGAACAGGAGGTTACAGTGTTCTTCCCATAATGAGAATCTGCCTGTTCTAGAGAATTAGTGTTTCAAAGCCTGATAACTTCTACAGTTATTTTATGTAAAAGATTGTCTATTTGGACATGAATGCGTGTCAGTAGAGGAATTTTATAAGCCTGAAGTAATGTATGGATCAGCCCCCTTCCCCTGGCTATGAAACTTTGGAGAGAAGTGAAAGCTTAGTCTTAGACATGTACAGAAACCAGGTGAGTTTAGATGAGTGAGCATTTGGCTTAGGAAACCGAGGCCAAGAAGAAGTTATGCCCAGAACATCAATCCAAAGAAAAGCTCTACTTCTAAGTTCTGCACAGCTTGACACTGCTCCAATGCACTGCTATGAAACCGCATCGCTCAAAACATTCCCAAATCCAAGAAACTAAGGAAAACACCCATGACAGCCTTCCCCACTTCATAATGAAGCTGTTCTTCTAGTAAAAATGCACAACCAAGCACAATTCTGCTAAATAAGATGGCTACTTATTTGGGAGATTATCTTTGCTGACTCCGAGACACGGGAGCTGTTCAATTTCTGTTACCGACCCTTTCTATCTGTTTCACAACCTTCTGCATCAATATATAAACATTTCGGTGAATCAACTCTGAGGTAGCAGAGGCAAAACCAATGTGATGTCTTTTATAAATGTGCAGATTCAAATATTTATTCAAATGTTTGCTAATCCTGGAGGCTCGGGAATATAGATTGTGGCATGCTGAAGGTAGGTGCCAGAATAGACTGTCAGGTAAGAGTCAACAGTATAGACTGATGAAGTTGGTGCCAGTCACTGGATTTGACCATTCGTGACAAAGATCATACACATTATTTTATATTTATGAATACTTTGTGGTGTATTTCATTTTAAAGAGGAAATTTATCTCCGAGGGAGAAAAAAAGGAGAGAGAGGGCACGATGGCTAATTTTTAGATGAGCTGAGTAAAGCCTCCATAATCAGGATTCGGAAGCTCTCCAGTGTCCAGCAAGCTGAAAGAAACTCAGGGGATTGTCATGGTATTGGAGCCAGTCCTAGGTGCCAAAGTCCAAACAGGCCACGCTGGCCATGGGAAAGCCCCAAGTATGTAGGTCACATACGTGTTTTAAATATAGACAGGCTGCATTTATACCATTATTTTACTATGAAGCTCTGGAGAAACCCCGAAGGGTCTAAATTTTTTTAAATGTGCTTTTTCCACAAAACGTAAGAAAACTGTGACACCACCTTGAATGATGGCGTTTGTGGTTCACCTTGTGGCCCTGTGTGGGTTTCACAGGTGGGGACCCCTTTCCTCGACACTCCTCTTCCGACCCCAGTGAATTTCACTCTTTTTGGAAAGTGCTTGGTGCTCACAAGTGAGGCTCAGGACTCGGCACAGTCACTTTCCCAGTGACACTCTATAAACGTGATTCTGCGGCAATAAAAAAATAATTAACCAAAATAGAAAGCATATAAGCCCTCGTATTTATTGAATATCTGCTATGACCTGGAGGTGGACGAAGGACAAGCATATAGAGAGAGGAAGGCAAGGACACACCAAGTGCTGGTTTTGCCTGACGCTGATCCGGTGCCCTTTCTTTGTCCTGGAGCCCAGAGTCCTTATTCCTCGTCACTCCTGTCACCTGTCTCCTGAGTGGCTCTCCTCTTTCCCGTTCTCTGCAGACACGCCCCGCCTCCTACTTGGAGTGCACCTGACGGGAGAACGAATCGGTTCCCAGGGAACTTGGGCTCAGCAGAAACTTCGTTGGGTCTGTGACGGGGGAGCCAAATTAGCCACATCACGAATTCTGCTTTTGTTTTACTGGCTGCCATTTTTAGGTTCTTACTTTTCTAAAAACACATGTAAACACCTCCCTCTTATTTGCCACAGCCAAAGAGAGCTGGGTAATTGGTAATCAAGGAAGAAAGCACATTTCAAAAAAAAAAAAAAAAAATCACCGTAATGGAGAATATCAGTGTAAACAGTGCCATCCTCATAGTTGTCGAATTTACCAATGTTCTGCTCTATTGTAGATTTAAGGGTGTCACTTTAATTTATTTTAATTAACAGTTCTTTAAGAAAATAATATGTTCATGTTAAAAAATCAAGTGGACGGTATGCAGTTATAAGGTAATCATAGCAACCCGAGTGGTTTCTCCCTTAGAGGGAAACCCAAGAGCTATACCAGGCTCCACGGGTCCTTCGGGATGCGGCCCCTCCTTCCTCTTCATTCCCCCGGGGCCCTTACTTCACGGCCACCCCGACCTCAAACATACCACGTTTATTCCCACCTCGGGGCCTCTGCGCTGCCATCCCTCTCTCGGGCGTGCCCGCCGCCCTGCTGACTGCCTGGCTGGGTCTGTCTCCTCTCTCAGGTCTTACCATGAGCGTTTCCTCCACAGAGGTGGCTCCGTCCCAGCCCGTCATTCGCTGCCATCACTGTGTTTGGGTGGCCTGGCCCTGATGGCTCTCTGAGGTTACTTTCTTGCTTCCTGGTCTCTTTTCTGTCCGCTCTGGGATGGCAGCACCATGGCGGCAGGGGGCTTGGCCATCTTTATTACAGCGTATGCTCTGCACAGTAGGGACTTGGTCAATGTTGGTTTAATCGAATGAACAATGGTGTTATTTATGAGAAATGAATAACAATTAAGAATAGTGTCCGACAAACAGTTTGGATCTACCAAGTGGAGGTTCCCTTCTGCTCGCTCCCCATCCCCCTGACAATATACAGTCAAAACCGATCGCATCTACACCGTTCTAGCTTAAATATATTGAGAAGGCATTAATTTCTGCTGAGTGCCGTAAATCGTAACGTGCCAGGTACAGAGTAGCCCTGCCCCCCCCCAAAAAAGTGTTCATTTTAGCAGAATGTCAATGTTCTTTGTCTAATCTGATTTTTCAGGCTGGCCATGCCGGAAGGAACCATGAGTTGGCACTTCCCCTGCTTCCTCCTGGCCACCGTGACTTTGCCCTCCGCGTGCCTGCAGTTCAATCCTCGGCCTCTGGAGGAACTGGGCTCTGACATAGGAATCCAGGTTTTCAATCAGATTGTCAAGTCGCGGCCTCGTGACAACATCATCGTTTCCCCCCATGGCATCGCATCCGCCTTGGGGATGCTGCAGCTGGGAGCCAGCGGCAGAACGAAGCTGCAGCTTGCCATGATGATGAAATACAATGTGAACGGTGCGTGCGCTGGGCCCTGGCTGCAGGGTCGTGCAAGGGTCATGCAGGGGTCGTGCCGGGGTCCTGCACCAGAAGGGTTCCCTGCTGGGTCTCCGCTTACAGCCCCGAGAAGCAAGCAGAGCAGCCTGGGGGTTCACTGGTGCCATCTGGGGTTCAGGCCATTCTCCTCTAAACGACAGGTGTTGTGGTACCGGAAGTTACGAGAACTGGCTTCTGGCCTCTGTTCTGCAGCTCTGGGGCTTTGGGTCCATCACTTGACCTCTCTACGCTCCAGTTTTCTCATCTTGGAAAAGAAAACTGTCCGTCTGCCCCACCTGCATGGCATACAGAGCTAAAAATGCATTATGGCTGTGAATGCACTTTTAAAACTATAAACTGGGGAGCGGGGGTGGGGGTGGTGGCCGTGGAGGACAGCACGAGGAAGCCTTGTGGTGATGGGACTGTGCTCTGTCTCGACCGTGGTGGCGGACACGTGAATCTACACGGGGGATACAATTGCATAGAGCTCCACACACATGCGCACACACATGCACACGTGTGCGCGCACACACACAGGCGCACATAGAAATCAAGTGCGATCTGAATGAAACTAACTGTGCCAATGGCAATTTCCTGGTTGTGGTACTGTGCCATAGTCATACACGAGATCACCATTGGGAGAAACAGCGAAAGGTACATGGGACACCCTATCTACTGTTTCGTAAGTTCCCGTGAACCTATAATTATTTCAAAATAAAAGGCTACAAAATTTTTTTTTTTTTAAGTAGAGCCCAAGGGAAAAAGCTTGTTTTTTTTTTTGTTTTTGTTTTTGTTTTTTTTTTAAAAGAAACCGCTGATTTTAGTTACTTATTAAAACATAACGTAAGAACTTACATGCCCTGGCAATGTCATGTTGCTTTCGCTACCACTTTCTTGCCCAGAAGGTTACCTGCCACCTGCTTTTCCACGCTTCAGGGTGCGAGGGAGCAGGGCAGGCTTCGGAGCCCTTCGTGGCATTGTGACCTCGAGCGAGTCCCTTTTCACATCTAGGTCTCCCTAACTTTATGGGAAAATGAGGGATTTTTGCTACCCATGGGCTATCCCTTCTGCCGGCCATGACATTCTGGGGCTCCTGACTGTGCTAATGCCTTCAGCCGGGTGAGGAAGACGAGACAGATGGGGAGTTATGTACTCAGGCTCTCAGCGTAGCCTCCAGCGCTGCCGGCACCAAACGTCTAACCGCCCTGCTCTGACTACTGATTATGCGGCATGGAAGTTTTGCATGAGTTTGCGATTTGTTCACCTGTCAGAAGCAGGAAAAGGCCAAATACGTAGAACACACTGTTCTGCCTCTGGCATGGGAGTTCAGAAAACTCTTGTTGATGTATAACTTCATAGTGAATCACCGCTAGAATTTATGGCCTTTCCTAGTGTCGTCCAGGTCCCGTCAGCCAATGCAGTTCCAAAATGGCAATTGGATTTTTGTTGTTTGTGTTAACGCTGAGCCACATTCATTTTAAGCAGTATTTCCAAAGTTTCGATGATATCGCCCTGTTGACCACTCCCCACCGCACCCTTTTCTTCCTCCAAAATCGCTAACGGTTATGCCGTAGGCTGTGATTTCAGTTGGCATGAGATACTCATCCAAGGGAGCCTGAGTGATTGTTCAGGCCCCAGTTCTGGATCAGTGGTGATGCTCTCGTTGACGATGGTGGCAGCCAGTTTGCGGGGACAGAGAGGAAAGGTTTGTCCTGTTCTTCTAGGGTGTGTGGAGGAGGCAGAGTGGCTCAAGGGGACAGACTTGGGACTTGGCCTCTGGAGTTTGCTGCTCCCTTCCTTATAGAATGGGCTCGCCTCCTCCTGCTGGGCCTGCTCACAGAACCGTGTGGGGCAGACTCACGAGAGGCCCAACAAAGGCCCGAGGGTCACCTCTGTGTGAGGCATGGGAGACTTTACCCTGCCTTTGTTTAAAGGATCCGAAGAAGAGACACTCAGAGGGACAAGTCAGCCCCCCAGAAAGCCATCAAGATCGCCCCGCAGGCTGTTCTAGGACAGTGCCATTTTGAAAAGACCCCAAGCGATTAAGAAGGATCCATAATTAACAAGTTCTCTGTAGAAACACATTTCTTCCTTGTAACTTATTTTCCTCTTTTCCATGCTCTAAAACTAAATGGAGCATGTATGAACGGCTCGTGTAAAATAAAGCTTACGTCGCCATAAAATTAATCCCTGTACTTTGTGAGCTTTATACCAAGCAAGGCTCACATTGTTCTTGGATGGTGGCGCCTGGCAACTTCTGACAGTCTCTCGAATGCTCGTTTTCTTCATTTTTCTTCCAAAATAGAGAAGGGGAATCATGTTGTTAAATCTTCGGCAGGAAAGGAAATCGCCCTCAAGATGGTGAAGCGAAAAAGAGAATAGGTTGGGGAGAATCCTTCCATTTACCGCACCCCCCCACCCCCACATCTACCTAACGGGGGAGCTCGCCAGTCTCCCTGTTGACCTGGTGCCAAGAAGATGTTCCAGGAGAATGAGGTCCACGTGGGGCAGAGCAGAGAGCACCTCAAATATGCTATAGACGTGCGACTGACTTTAAGACCTGTTAATCGTACTTTATTTTATCCCCTCCCCCCTTTCTCAATACGAGGCCACGGAGAAAGCAAAAAAATTGTGGTCTCTCGCTACTCATACTTGTCTCGTTTATACTGTTTTTATTTGCCATAAGATAGCAGATAACTTTGGAACATCATTTTTCTGAAATATTTTGGGAATACTGCATTTTCTCGTTTCTGCTTTAGGACTCGGTAAAATGTTAAAGAGGATCAACAAGGCCATCGTCTCCAAGAAGAACAAAGACGTCGTGACCGTGGCCAACGCCATGTTTGTGGAGAAGGCCTCTAAACTCGAAGCGCCTTTCGTCGCGAGAAACAAGGATGTGTTTCAGTGCAAGGTCTGGAATCTCAACTTTGAGTCTCCAGCCTCCGCCTGTGACTCCATCAATGCGTGGGTTAAAAACGAGACCAGGGGTGAGTGGTCACAGCTCCTCGGGCCCCTATGTTGTGCGATCTTACACTTCGCAAATGAAAGTGTGAGTTAGACTCAAAGATTCGAACGTGGGTCTGCAATCCAGTGACGCTTCCGTTGGGAAGGGCCAGCACCCAGGTCCCTGAGCTGTCTTTTCTTTCTTAGCAGGCCTCACAGCTCGGTCCGCCTTCCTTTCTTTTTCATGCGACCACTCCTTGTGTCCCTTGTGGGTTTCCCTCCCTGTGGCATGGGCGGCAGAGCAGAATACAGCCTCGCAGACTCCTTTCTCTCACTGCGTCTCATCCCCAGAGTGCTTGCCCATGGGCCCTTGTCTGTTTTGCAAGTTTTACTCCTCGCTCCTTCCTGCTTTTGCATCTGCCGTCTCTTTTGCCCGGAATGTCCTTATCAGCCTTTAAGATTCAAGAATGATCTCTCTCCTCACCTTCCCGGCCTCTTGCTTCTGTCATCTCTCGGGACGTGGGTGCCTCCTCTCTGGTTGACTGGCACATGATGATGCGTCTTCTGTGCCCCTTCATTATAGCAGTTTCCACGCGGTGTAATGATTGCTTGTTGACGTGCGTCTCTTCTCTCCTGCAACTGAGAAAACGTCTAACGTCAGTGTCTAACAGTTTTGAACCTGTTAATTTGTAAACCGCAGGTCCAGGTGAAAACATCCGGGAAGAGAGGTAGGTCCAGATTAACAGAGGCAAGTTAAGTCCAGGGTTGTAGATGTGGGAACCGTTTTTCACAGAAGGGAGAGTCAAGGTCACAGGAATGCAAGCAAAAGAGACTCACTAGGGAGAAGAAGCTCAAAGACAAAACTTGGGGAAATTCGGGCTTTTCAGGTCATGTTTCTCAAAGCAGGGTTCCCGATGCACCTGCATGAGAATTACTTGGGGCGTATGCTTAGAAGGGAGATCACTGGACCCCAACCTACTGAGTCAGAATCTCCGAGGGAGAGGATGCCGACATTCTTTGTTAAAACAAATTCTCCCGCGGTCCACGTCCACCACCCATCACCACCCTTACACGCGGGACTGTTCGAGACCCATTTGAGGGACTAACGAAGAGAGAGATAGACAAGGAATGCTCTGGAGGGTGTAGGAGAACCAGGCTGGCTTTGGGGAACTCGTGGCGCCTTTGCTCAACAGGATCCTGGACGGTGCAATCTGGGTTCCCTCCCTGAAACCACGAAACCATCAGGAGACCCGCAAACGCGGAGGGTTTCGTGGTTTTTCTGAGCCTGCGCGCCTCAGAGCAGTGGTAGGAAGCTGACGACACTCGGAAGCTAAGTGGCCGTTTGATTGGCACGTCACTGTGCCCTCCCAGCCTTCCTCTGCACGATGTAATGGGAACATTAAATCATATTAGAATACCACTTGACAGGTTTCAGAGCACTTGGATGCGCATCATCTCAATTGCTTGCTGCGTCTCTGGGGAGGGCAAGTGCTGAGACTCACACGGTGCCTTCCGACCCCACAGACCCAACTCCCTCTTTGTAAACAAATATTTTTAATTCTCCTGTTTACAGTCCCGAAATGAAATGTATAGGCCATATAACCTGAACACAACAGACGCAACATTTTTTAAACTAATAGAATACCAAACTACAATACAAGGAAAAAGGAAAGTAATTTATATATGAAAAAAAACCCATGGGCACAGCGACACCTGAATACGTAACGAAGCAGACCAAGACGCATCTGTTGTAACTGGCGACTCGGAAGCCACAAGCTGAATGCATTACCATTGTTAATGTGATTGTTTTCTGAACCAGTGCAATACCCTTGGTAAATTTCCAAATAAAACAAGTATAATCTCCACTCGATTTACATAGTAGTCACATTCCTAGCAAATGCAGTGTACGTTTGAAGTATGCCCCACCCCCGCCAAAGTTACATGTGTTTGCATGAAAAAGAGTGAGATTCTGGGCTCAGATCTTAATAAGGAGATTTCTCACTGATGTGAATAATATCAGGCCTGGTGTTTGAAAGTTATGCAGGGAGAGGACAGTTCTTCATTGAGACCGTTTTGAATGTTACAGGACATGTCGCATCTCTGGCCACTGCCCATTCAACCAGAAATGCTCCCACAAATTTCTAAGCTACCCGCTCAGGGCGAACTGCCCCACTGAGAAGTACCTGCCTACATGACAGGTCTCAGAAGGACCCAGGAGACTGAACAGTCCATGAGCAGACGACGGTGAAGTCTGTCCCTGGGGAGATGGTGGCCTCTGCCCTTGCAGGGAGTGGAAGAACCAACACAAAGGCCACTTCCCGCGTGGAGGGGCGTGGAGATGGCCCAGCCAGGCTGCCCTGCCCCCTCTCTGCGGCCTCATCCTCTGTCCTGTCACACACCCCACACGTGCTGCCTGCTATACCTGGAACACCTCCCTTCCCCTTTCCCCTTGAGAACGTCCATTCATTTTCACACTGTCAAATAGCATGACTGTTAAAAGCCTAAGTTCTGAGTTTGAACCTCAGTCTGCCACTTACTGACTGTGTAACCTTAGGCAAGTTAGTTAACCTCCCTGATCCTCAGCATTTTTGTCTGTAAAATGGAGATGTAATAGCGATCGATACCTCCTGGAAGAGTTGTAACAACATTAAGATCATTAACAGATAAAAATAATACACGTAAAGCATTCAGCACTGTGCCTGGCACTTAGCAGATGTGCAAGCGTGAGCTATTTTTATAGCCGTTAGCTCAAGTAATACATCCTCAGGGAGCCGTTCATCCCTGATCTTGCCGACCAGATCGGAGTCCCCTCTTCCTTGCCCTCACATCCCTGAGTACTTCCACTTCAAGGCACTTACTGCAACTGCAGCTTTGCACTTTTCCAAGTCTTCATGGCAGCCTCTACCTCTCGAATCCATAGCTCTTTGAAGGTGGGGCACATTTTTGTTCTTTCTTATCTAAAAGAATACCTGGCACCTAAGAGGGAGGCATCTAAGGAGGCTGGGAGGATGGATGGTGGCTATATCGGTGTACATGTGGATGGATGATAGATGCATATTTGTGACATTTGTTGATGGCAGGTCCCCCATATGCCTTCTTGCCTCTAAACTATGCATTTCTTCACCTTTCTTTTCTTTTTAGTTTTTCATGCCACATTACAGTATTTTAGTCCTTCCAGTGGCAATCAGAGGTTTTATTTATCTCAGCAGAAAAGGACTGAACAGATGTATGTCTTCAGACACTTAGCGAGCACTGACTGCATGCTGCGCATAGAGCTAAGCATGATTTTTAAAAAATGAATGGCAGGTCCCTATTCTTGCGCGGTTCATGGTTCAGTTGGGAGAGCGAGACATCTTAAATTTGTCCAGAATAAAATACCACGGTGTAATGCAGGCACTGAGCCGCGGGCTTTGTGGAAAGTGCCTGGGTGTCAGGAGGGTGAGGAGAGCAGACCGGGAGAGGGGACCACTGAACTACGTCCCAAAGGCAGGTGGGGGTTGGACCGGGCAGTGTCCCCAGCAAAGGCAAGAAACATTCATTATTGAGGAACCAACTCTAAGGAGCTTGCTCTCCCTGGAGTACAGAGTTCTGACTTCCTTCCCGCAGGGAAGCCTGTTCGCAGAGGCCGGCCTTGTATTGATCCATGGCTGTTTATTTACGGCTTATGTATTTTTCTTCCATGCCCGCGTTAAGGAGGCGCTGGTGCCCCCTTGTGGAAGCAATGAGCAGTCATGGAACTGTCTTACTGAGTGCTCTGTGGGTCCAGGGACCCCCGGTCTGCTTCTTTACCATGTTTTGTTTAAACATTTGTTCATTTTACACGAGAATCTTCTTGAGCTTTATTTAAAAAGACTTAAAGCTCTCTGCTGAATTAAACATTCTTGCTCCCTCAGAAACTATTGGTTTTATTATCACCATTTAACATATAACTTGCATTTATTACTTTTTTTTTTTAACATGTTTGGTCTAAAGATGACATTAAACTAATTTTTAATAGCTTTGGGTATTAGCAATGCTTCTTACTTGTGCATGCGCACGTACTCACACACACACACACACACACACACACACACACACCCATACCCACACCCACACACACCCCTGAACCTTCCAATATGGAGCAAAAGGAACCTAAATGAACAACCAGAGTGTCAAGCACAGGTAATACTTTGGAGCATCTTTGTGACTTCACAGGAGCATCCTGGAACTATGGGGGTCGCTCCTTCCTTCACTCATGACACAAACAAGGTGGATCATCCTGACCTCTTGAGAAGAGTATTTTCATTCAAAATTAGGAGTTCCAGGACAGACCTCATTTCTTTTTATCTCTATAATTTTAGCACCTAGCTTGATCCCTGACCCATAAATCTAGACACCAATTTTAACTTCAACTCTTTAGTTCCGAGGCCTTGTGATAACCGTGGGCCACAAACTAATGTTCAGTATTTCTAAAATTTTAAGAGAAATTAAGCATTTATCTTTGATAACCTTGCATAGCCTGAAGTGTTTGTTTATTTGGACTGCGATAAATCAACTATGGTTAAAACGACACGAGAATTGCTTATCTCATGCTGACCAAAATCCCTCACTGACCGTCATACGTATCAGCTATTAGCAGAAATAGGGAAATTAATTAAGTATAGTTTATTTGAATGAGTAAAATTTTCTAAAGCATGGGGCCGATAGGGAATAGTTATAAAAGAATTTCTTGATGCAAAGTTTGGTAATCCCTAAATGTAGAGTTTCTAAAGTCGTTTCCTGGTGTCTGATCTTTAATTTGTTTTCAGCTTTAATTTTTAGTGAGGAAAAAAAAATTAGTACAAAAGGATATCGCACAAAATTTCTTTTTAAAATCTTTTAAGAATTCCGTCGAGTTTTTCATTCTGCACGGTCCAACAGCTCCCTCCGGTGGACTGCCAGCCCTGAGTCTCCTCCCTCTCTGTTCTGTGACTTCACAGGTATGATCGACAACCTGCTCTCCCCGGACCTTATCGATGGTGTGCTGACCAAGATGGTCCTGGTTAACGCCCTGTATTTTAAGGGTCTGTGGAAGTCACGATTTCGGCCTGAGAATACGAAGAAACGTACATTTGTGGCAGCCGACGGAAAGTCCTATCAAGTGCCGATGCTGGCCCAGCTCTCCTTGTTTCAGAGTGGTGAGTTCACACCTGGCGAGGTTCGGTTTCAGAGCGTGCCAGCCGCAGAAAGGCCTGCATGCCTTGCCTTAGCTCAGGAGCAAATCCACCTCTTTATGTTTTTAAAAAACATCCGAGAAGGGGAGGGAAGAGTTCTTTTAAAAGCTCATGGTAAATCTATTTACAAAGATTACATATCAGTAGGTAACACACATAAGCTTTTAGGTTGAAAATTTAAAGATGAAAGGGCAATTCACAAATTAGTATCAATGGGCAGTAAACAGATAAAAGTATTAATTCATCGTTAGTAATTTTACGTTACTAAATTAGAAATAAAAGTAAAAATTAGATTTCTTTTCCACTTATCAGATTTGCAAAAATTAGGAAGATCGACGAAGCTCAGTCGTGGCTGGTGCTGGGGGAAGTGGCATCTCTAAGCTCAGTTGGTGGCCAGGAGCCATGGTCTGGAGGACTCCCTAGAGTCCTCCAGAGTCATTGCCCTCAGCAGCTGCACACTGAGGAGGTGATCCTCTAAAGTTAATCACACACTAGCAAATAAATAAAAGCAGGATACAGACAGATAGCTAACACATGTGAGAGTTAGATTTTAATTTATATAAGTAGAAAGATAATATAAATATGGTCGATTTCAGAAAACAAGTTATAGAACAGCAGATGCAGATTCATCTCATTTATATAAAATACTTTCTACATATTCCTTCGTCTGTAGAGACATGTTAAATGCTAACAGTGGTAGCATATCAAATGATTATTTTTCTTTATCTGAATTTGAAATTTCTAACAATATGGATCTTGTTTACAATAAAGAAAAATAATGACGCATCTCTGCTGTCATTTCCACGGCATAGGTAACTAAGTCTGGTGATTACCTTTTAAATCTGGTTTCATGGAAACACTAACGGTCCTATTTAAATGATCTTCCTTTTCCTTTGTAAGTTAGCCTTGATGTCTTCAACCAATACCTGGACATATGGGCCTCAAGTATTTCCTTTGCATATTCAGTATATTAGCTTTAAGTACAGCTCACATCACACCAGCCCGATTCTTTAAATTAAGGAATGACTCATGTGAGGGACACAAAAAACAAAGTCACTTTCCTTCTCACTTGTCATTCATCAAGCTTCTTAGTAAAATTTTGTCATTGGCTCAGTAAATTTTTTTAAAAAGATAATATTTATTTAAAAGTTGTGTGGAAAGGTATCGTACAAAGCAACTGAGAATAATAAAAGGCTCTTTTTGCCCCCAAATCACTCTCAGGTTAAGACTAAATCGAAACTCCAGCATGGCCACCAGTTCAGATCCAAAGTAAATTTGATTTTAGGTCAATCTTTATACACATTCTGCATTCTACTAAAATGAAAAGCGAAGGGACCTCATTTACTCTATGTTTCTATTGCTGAAAAATAGCAAATAAGTCAGTAGTCAAAGATTAAAATGCAAGGATTCTGTAGACATTCCCATGAAAGATTAAATGTTTGTGTTTACAGGAATGAATATCACACACTTTAATTGAGTATGTAGGACATTCCCAGAGAGGAAGTTGCATCTCCCAGGTAGCTTTACAATTAAGAACTGATTTGTCTAAGAATATACGTGTGCATTTTACAGAAAGTAACATACAAATCCACTCCTGTTGTCAAAGGTTCAAGTTCTGTGTAACTGCAGTATGCTGGACGTCTTCCCTGATTCGTGCTGTCCCTTCTCTACCCTGTTCTGAGTCCCCAGGAGGCTGCATCAGTGGGCTCCCTTGTCCTCTGCCTTCCTGTTGGGTTGGCTAACGAGGTGACTCAGCAGTTGACAGGGGTTAGGGAGGAGAGAGGGCTTGGGCACTGGCTTCTCAGCCTTCTCCCTGCAGTCACCAAGGCCACTGCATCTCTCCACCAAGGTCTTAGCTCCTGCCATCAGGGGCTGCCGGCAGGTCTTTCTCTCGGGGTCACCTCCTCTTCCCTCACCCCTCCCAGCCTGAAGGCTCGTAGTGGTGCCCCAGTGTTTGTAGCCCAGGATTCTATCTTTAATGGTTTCTCTATACCCCACTCATGCTTTATAAGTAGTCCCTTCATTAACCTCTGCTTAAATGACCCATTTCTTGTCGGACTCGGACTAATCTGGGCTGAATTCAGCACAGAACACAATAGTCCCCATCTCTCCACCATTCTCATCCCTCACAAGTAAACGCGGTGAGCAGCACGTTGTCATCCTCCCTGCTCTCTGTTCTGTGCCTGTCATTGGGTTTTTCCTGAGCAACCTGGAATCGGAACCCAGGTTTTCCCGTGGGCCGTGCATCAGAATACAGGGTGTCATATGTGCCCCGGTTTCCCACTTTGGCCAACAGAGCCGCTTTTTATGGAAAAACGGGGCAGGTTTGTCTCGTTGCGGCTGGGAAGAAAGCGCAGCTGTTGGTGACGGCCCCGAGCAGGCATTTGTTTGCATGACGACAGTCCGCTTAGCCGGGCACCCGTTTCCTCCTGTCTCATCACAGGCTGGCCAATGCAACCGGCCAGCGCTCCAAGATGGGCAGTCCCAGCTGAGGCGAGCCAGGCCGCCCTGCCCAGACCCACACATGCAGCTTCCGGTGTCACCTGCCAAACGTTTCCTAGGCTTCATCCAGCCTTGCTGTTCTTGGTCACTTGGCCAAAACACTGCAATCCCCCAAGGTGTCACCAAGATCTCTGAGAAGATTCACTTAGCAACAATAAAAATGGGTGAGAAATGCTTCTCGACTTAAGTCTAATAAAGTATAAGCACTTTGAGGAGAGAAACTTTTCTATTAAAAAAAAAAAAGCCTTCAAATCTTTTTTGTGGTAGAAGTGTATGTCTTGCTCACTGCAGAATGCTCAAATATAAGGCAGAAAGTGAACGATTCCCTATCACCCATTCCCCAGCATAAAAACCCCTATTAAGTGTTAGATGTATCGTTTGAGACCATTTGTATGGATATATAAAATATGTTTATAAGACTCTTTTGTATACATAGGATTACACCTTAATTTCTATTCTATAATTTGCTTTATTCGCTATATAGTGTATCTTGGAAAACTTTATGTCAATTCATGTGTATCTGCTTGATCCTTTTATCCACTGCATAATATTCCATGGTAAAAATGTATCATAATAGCCTATGGATGGCCGTTTACTTTTTTCCCATAACAAATAGCACTTCGGTGAGAATTCTCCTACATAAACCTTTAGATACTTGTGTCAGAACTTCTAACAGTAATTTCCTTACATAGGAATGACTGAGTCAAAGTTATTACAGATTTTTTTTTGTTTTTATGGTTATATGTTTAGACTTAGAGGGTTTTTTTTTTTATTTTTAAAAAGCCCACAGAGAACTTCAAATGTATGTGTGTATGTGCGTGTGTAAATATACAGTATATCAGTATATTTCTAGAATCCACTCTGAACTTCCAACTTATACCTACCTAACCATATTACTTCTTTATTTGATTGTCTGTTAGGTCCTGGTTCCATCAATAAATGCATCACTGCTCTCTCCCACCTAGTTCTTTGGCCAGTTTTCTTTAGCTCAGTACTCACTCAGTTGCTTAAAGTTTAAGCCACACCTCCTTCAGCATCAACTCTCCCCATACTCTCTTGGCCCTCCAGCCCGAGCATAGCTTACAGGTAGTGGATCTATTTGTTGTCATCTTTTTTCCAAACATATATTTCAGTATTACTGAAGTATAGCCTGAACAGTTCCTTAAGAACTCAGGACGTCCATAAAGCTACTTGTGGTAAAAGGGCATCAGAGAGACTTTCGGCTTTCAGGCTTTCCCGATATTAAATATTTAAAATATTCTGATTTTACAGGCCGAGAAGAGTTCTTAACATTTCAGCCTAGTTACTACTTCCTCCCTTGTAGGCCTTCAAATAGAAATCAGAATGTTTTAGAGAGCTTTCCAGAAAAACTGGATCATCCCCAAAATGCCACTTACAGAAAGTTCTAAATCTTCTCTATATTTTTAATCCTTGATTCTCTGCCTAATTATTTCTCATTAAAGGTTTTGTTGATCCCCATTCATCTAAGAGAAAAGACTACTTTTCCCCCTTTTTAAATCTTTTGTTCTTTTTAGAATAAACCAGCCTGCTTCGTTCACATTAGTATATATCCCAGAAATTAACCTCATTAAAGAACAGTCAGTCTACTTCCCAGAGGATAAAGAATGGAGGGCCTGGAGCAGGACATTTTCAAAAGAAGAGATGGGGGACAGTGAGGGCCCCCGGCTCTGACACCAGGTTCCCAAGTTCCTTTTTCTTTCATTATGCTCCACTGTAGTTTGTGTGGTTTCTTTCTCCTGCTGGAGTGAGTGTCTTTTGAGCAGCGACTTAACACCCAAGAAGTGAAGTTTTATGAAGCCGCTGACGTCAGCAGATGAAAGCTTTTGCTGTGTGCGGCCACTGTGCTAAGCACTATGCATATGTTTTCTCATTTAATTTTCACAGCAACTCTGTAAGACAGGTACTCTTATCCTATTGAACAGATAGATAAACGAAGATGCGGAGTTAGGGAATTCACCCACGTCCCAGAGCCAGCGTGTGTCTGAGTCAGGATTTGAATCCAGGTCTTGTAGGCCCAGATCTTGTGTCTTTCACCTCAGCACTTGCCCTCTATAAAACGATGCTGTGGAAGCAGCACCTTAGTGATGGAAGGAGAGGAAAGGTGTTACTTTGTCTCCTGGCCCCTCAAGCCACCAAATAAAGATGAGCATGCAAGGGGTATGTTCTGCTGCGTCCTAGCTGACGGTCGTCATCAGTGCCTGTGATCAGAAGCAGAGATGGGGCCAAGGAGAAGTGAATCATCAGGCAGATGTGAGTGACTGGATGTCAAATGGTTAGCAGTTATTCATATTATTGATTAGTTAATGATGTATCCAGTCGAGGCTGGATTAACTGATGGAAGTAGAAGCTGTCCCCCACCCCAACATACCCCAGCTCCTCAGTTTTATTATTCATGCCCCCCATCCTTATCAGAACATTAAATATTTCTAGAGGTGTTTAACAAATGCCTCCAGGTCCTTATTCCATGCCCTGGAGTAATCATTTATTAACTACTTTCTAAATTTCACAGTTTCTAAAAATTAGCTCTGCCCCGACTAGGGACCTAATGTCTTCTTTGAGGATTAAAGGGCTTACTAGGAAGTGACTTTTCTCTCACCTTCTCACGGATGTTTCAGTTTCTGTTGAGACCGTTTTATCATGCAAGATCAAAGGAAAGACAAAGGATCCCATGTTTGCATTGTCGGTAGCCCCAAGAAAGAACCCAGCCTAGAGTGACAGTTCCCAAGCACCCTGAGCTGAGGCTGGGCCACTGGTTCCGAACAGCCCTGAAGCAAGGTGGGAACAGAGCATCCTAAATGCTCCACAGATTGCCCACATATTTCTCCCTTAAGGAGAATCTGCAATGTCATCCTATAATGACATACATTCTAATTGCTTCACTATTTTTTTAAATCACATTTTACAGCCAGAAGTGTTATTTGACAGAGCTGGATGTCTCTCTCCCTCTCTCTTCCTCCATCCCTTCCTCCCAACCCCCATCTATGGAGACCTGGCTTATTGCTGTCCCCCGTCTCAAGTGCAGTGATTGGCAAAGGTTGTCTCCAAAGAAAAGACAAGTGAAAATCATGAGAGAAACTCGATTTCTCTTTTCCTCCTTCCTTAAGTTTGGTGTCCTTCTAGGTCATTTAGAGAAGGAGGAAGAAGGGGCCAGCGTTCAGTGGGCACTCACCATGGGCCAGGCCTAGCTAAGTGTCTTATACATTTTTTCTCACTTAATCATCACAAAAACCCTACACACTCAATACCCCTGGCAGCTCCCTCCTCCATATTCGGCGCCCAGAGGTTAGGTAACTTCACCAAGTTCACCGAGTTCTTCTTAAGAAGTTTGAACTGTTTAATAAAACCTTTCAGAAATCTACCATAAATCTGGAAATGCTGGTTTTTCCATTACTTCATTAGTTTTTATAACTCTCTCATTGCATGCCCAATGCGAAGGTTATACATTTTTTCTCATTTAATCATCACAAAAACCCTACACACTCAATACCCCTGGCAGCTCCCTCTTCCATATTCGGCGCCCAGAGGTTAGGTAACTTCACCAAGTTCACCGAGTTCTTAAGAAGTTTGAACTGTTTAATAAAACCTTTCAGAAATCTACCATAAATCTGGAAATACTGGTTTTTCCATTACTTCATTAGTTTTTATAACTCTCTCATTGCATGCCCAATGCGAAGGTTTCATGGGTTCCTAGGGCGTGCCGTGTGGAAGACTCCTTCCCCAGGGAGTTAGTAGCCTCTCTGGGCCCCACGCCCATGAGCTGGGCTTCTCCCCAGTGCCCTCCATGACGACACGCTCATCCACACTGATTGGCGGTGCTCAGGTGTGCTGCTCAGTGGCTAAAAGTTTTCAATATTTTACGTGGGCTAAAAGGGTTTTAAGATCAAATTAGTTCGGGAAACCCGGAGATAACTAGAGTTCAACAGTTTTCTTCAGAATATCTCAGAGCCTTTATAATACTGACATATATTATAAGACTGCCAGAAGAATCAAGGGTCCAGGGAATCCTAAACTTACTGGGATGCGGAATCTATTTTGTCTACCAAGCATCTTGTGGGTCATATGTTCTCTGGATGACATTTGGACAAATGCTGGTTTAAATCATTCCTGGGTTTTAATTAGCAAGCACAAGTACCATAAAGTATCTGAGAGCCTATTGATAGTTATTGGAATGGATGAAGAATGAGTAGGGAGTCACAGTAGCGATAGAGGAAGACCGACTTGGGCATTAGACATACTGAGCCTGAGTCCCGGTACTCCACTTCTTAGCCACGTGTTTCCTGGTGGGTTACTTCATTTCTCTAACGTGGCCTCCCCAGCAGTCAAATAGACTGCTTATATCAACCTATGTCAACCGTGTGCAGCACTGTAGATTCCCAGCGTGTTCTAGGGGTGGTCGGTATGGGCCTGGCACAGAGTGGGCCCCGCTGCCCTCCATTCTCTTCAGCAAGCACAACACGTAGGCTCAGCCAAAAGAATCGTTCTAAGGCAAGCTCAAGTTCATTCCTTTGTTCATATGGTGAGGGTCAGCTTCTTGCAAAGCACTGTATTCTAAGAGCCTTATGATCTGGTTAAATTCTACTCAACAGAATTAATATAATGTTAGTGCCGCCCAAAGGCATTCTGTTAAGACGTGTCTAGACTGAAGAAAGGGAATTCTTTACCAGGGAAGGAAGAAGTAATTGTCCTTATTTTTGTCCTTCGAAGGAAGCTATTTTTGGAAAACGGAAGTTCTCAAACTGAATTGCTCTCTTCCCTCTGAAGCTACCCTGGTGATCGGCAGCCACTCATGCCTCGTCTGGAAGTCATCAAGGATACACTGAACCTGCCTCTGATTTCTTTAGGGTCGACAAGCACCCCCAGTGGCTTATGGTACAACTTCATTGAATTACCCTACCATGGGGATAGCATCAGCATGCTGATTGCACTGCCGAGCGAGAGCTCCACCCCACTCTCGGCCATCATCCCTCACATCAGCACCAAGACCATCGACAGCTGGAAGAGCATGATGGTGCCCAAGAGGGTGCAGGTCATCCTGCCCAAGTAAGTAGCTCCTTTCCCTAAAAGAGAAAACGGCAGGTGGAGTGCTCAGTCCTTGATAGTGATTGTGTCCGATACCAGACCCCACGAGGCTGAAATACGGCACATCACGAAGCCCATTTTATTTTGCAGAAATTGCATGGTGGGAATACAAGGCTGTGCTTTTTTCAAAGTTTGGTTTGGTTTTTTTTTCCCCCACCCTGTGCCTCTTATATGGCAAAATAATGACGATGGGGAAGGAGAGAAAGCAGCCTAGCATTTGAGCCTTCATAAAACCACAAGCTCATATGCCACTGCAAAGCTTTGAACGTATCTCATTCTGTTCAAAAGACTGAAAAACATATGCATATCATATCGGTATGATGAAAATACAGTAAAGTTTAGTAGTGTGCCTGTAGATTCCCAGCGTGTTCTAGGGGTGGTCGGTATGGGCCTGGCACAAAGTCGGCCCCCTCCCCGCCTCCATTCTCTTCAGCAAGCACAACACGTAGGCTCAGCCAAAAGAATCGTTCTAAGGCAAGCTCAAGTTCATTCCTTTGTTCATATGGTGAGGGTCAGCTTCTTGCAAAGCACTGTATTCTTGATAAGGAGTTTCATTTTGGTTACTTACGTCTTAGCTAGAAGTTGCTAAAGACCAAGATCCAAAAACTAAGTGGTAGGAAAATATTTTGAAACCACCCAGGCAGAATTCTTACATTCTAGGCGAGTTTGTTTTTTCTATTATACTCTAAAAGTATAAGATAGGTAGAATTTGAGCTCTCATGACTTGAATCCAAGGGAAAAGTAATCCCAAATTCTGTCTGAATACTAAATTTCTAAAAGGTCAGAGAATGCTTTGCCTAAATCTGTGAAAGACGCAATGATGTCTCCTTTCTATGAACTTTTTAACATTAGCGTTCTGCCAGTCCCTAGGACTTTTAACCACTCAGGTTTCAGTGGTGGTAGCAATACCTTCCAGTTCTAATCATTTTTAATTTCCAGCCACTGAGTTAAGAAATCAAAGTACACTGATAATGAGTACTGGTAATCCTCCCAAGATTATTTTTTGTTATAAGTCTTCTCATAGGCAATGCTTGATATAAATGAATAAGATGGTGACATTGTGGGTACAATTATGATGGTAAATTACCTTTGTAGCCCATCTGTGATGAGAGTCTGCTCACCTACTCTTGTTGCCCTCCCACAGGATGCGATAAAATCTGGTAAAATGTTTTATGTTGATAGGTTTAATAGAAGACGCATGACTGGCTGTAACGTCAGATAACCTACAAATATGCAAGAAACCCATACTATACCCAAATATTATCCCATGACACCTATTCCTAATGCTTGCTCTCGTTTTAACAGTTAAATACTTTCAGAATCCCAACATGAACTACAAGGAATGTATCTCCTGTCTTTTGACCATCCCCAATCCCAGTAAGATGGTAGTTTTTACAGCATCCAAGATGATGGCTCTTTGGTTGGACATAGGGAAGAACTGTAGATATTGTAGATATTTTACAGCATCCAAGATGATGGCTCTTTGGTTGGACATGGGGAAGAACTGTAGATATTGCAGAGTGCGAGACACTTGTCAACACCCTGCATCTCCCTATCGGCGTAAGAGAAGATGCTCCTGAGTCCTGAAATAGGGAGCCTGTTGCACATGAGGATGAGAACAGCCCTACTTGCTGTTACTATATGGGCTGCTTATTTCACCAGCTAAGCGTTCGAGAGATGAGTTATTCCATACTTAACCTGGTTTTTAAATCTTAGGATTAAAATTTACAATACAATTTAGACTGCTGTTCAGAGCATGCTTAAAAAAGAATCTGTTGATAAACGTTTTTCCACTGGCACTGATTATATCATTTTGTATCATTTATAGTCTAATGATTGTTTCCTTCTATTTTCTGCTTTCATGCTAGGTTCACAGCTGTAACACAAACAGATCTGAAGGAGCCACTGAAAGCTCTTGGCATCATCGACATGTTTGATCCATTAAAGGCAAATTTTGCAAAAATCTCAAGTATGTTCAATTTAAAACTTATTCTTCAACTTGTGAAGACTGTGTTACAAACTGAGTCTCTGATTTATTCAGAAAGCAAAGGTCAAAATTAAGAGTGGTTACCTTAAAACTCTCCACAGTTTAATGCGATCTGTTACCCAGTGATGCTATTGACCCTTAGTCATTTAAATCATCATAAGTCGGTCGATTTCACATGTATGTTTCATGTGAAGCCCGATCGACTCTACACAGTTAAAGAAATATTTTGTATATTGTCTCTGTTACCTAAAAATCTGGCTTTCAATTAGATATTAGTTTTTTTTTTTTAATGCAAACTTTTTTCCTATGTTTGCAAAATCAAGATTGGGGAGCATGTAGTATATCTAGATATGAATTTCGGCATTTCATGACCATTAATTTGAGATACTATAACTTCAGAGGAATCTGATTTGAATTTTTTTGCCAAAACATCCAGGATACAGCTGGTATGATTTTTCCTTCATCTGCCAATATAGGTACCTTTTTTTTGGATTTATATTTGAATGGTCAGTCCTTTGTCTTTTTAATTTGGAGCATAGCAGCCTCCTTTCAAAAAAAAAGTCATGGCTTATACATTATTTGTACTCCATTTTGTACTTTTCCCCTTGAGGAAGAATTCATTCATTACCAACCTCGGTTAGTAATGAACACCTATGTGCCTTGGGCATAAACTCAGCTCCTCTGGTGAAAGGGCCACTCCATGGGTGTTCCGATGCCCTCAGCCCTGTTAACTGAACGCTCATGCCCGCCCAGCAGCATTCTCGTCACCTGGGAGCTTCTTTAAAATGCATGATCTTGGGTCTGACCCAGACCTGCTGAATCAGAATCTTCACTTTACCATATTCCTCAGCCCAGTGACGTTTGAGAAGCACTGTTTTAACTTGCGCTTTCTCCTTCAGGGTTATCCTACATAGTGTCCTACATAGTGTCCCCAGGAAGCTCACAGGTGTTCAGAGGGAAGACCTAGTGCTCGAAATTATCCCAAGAAGTTCCATGTAACCTTGAAGGTGACTTGGGCCTTGCCAAAGTGCCTCTCACTCACCATCGGTCACATTACAGCTGAGCATCGGTGCAGATACCTTAAACCCGATGACGCAAAAACCACTTTTTCCCTTTGCATCCGAACTTACGTCCAGTCAAGGCTGACATTAACTTTCGTTTGCATTGCCCCTAAAAGCTGCACCCAGTGGGTACTGCCGGAATGGTAAAGATTCGCTAACAAGAGTGAATTCACTGGAAGGGGTCAGCGGCTCAGCTGCGTTTCTGAGTTTGGCCCGCCACACAGTCCAAACTCTTATACTTGGTTCTCTTCTCTCACTAATATGCCCACAAGATGAGTGGCTTTCATTATGAGAAGCCAGCAGTTACTCTGCTACTGACTAGCCATGTGATTTGAGGGCAGATTTTTTTTTTTTAAACACCCTAGGCCTCAGTTTCCCCATCTGCAAATGCCGTCTGAAATCCTTCCTGGATCTGACATCCCGTAAATGAAAAATAATGTCGGCTTGCCGCTTCTGGAAAAATGGGCTTCCTTTTTAAAGCTCTGCTCTTTTAATTTTTTTCATAAAATTCTTAGTGATCAGAGTTGAATTTCCAGAAACAGTAACACCTCTGGGGTCTGGGATGGCCCCCATGACGTGATGTCATAGTTCACTCAGCAGAGACTGAAATTTACCATAGGTGACAGTCATCCTTACACTTTGAATCACTGGGACTGTAAGAGATCACTTCTTACACCTTCTAAGAACTGGCATTTGCCATGGCCGAGGGTAAACAGCTGGCCTGCATATCAAACATACGCTGTTTTTGTCTTATTTTCTGGAAACAGGGTCAGAAAACCTTCATGTTTCTCAAATCTTGCAAAAAGCAAAAATCGAAGTCAGTGAAGATGGAACCAGAGCTTCAGCAGTCACAGGTAGGCCAGAGCATGTGGCGGGGTGGGGGCTGGACTTGCTGTGGGGATCGAGCGTCTCCCGTTCACACTCATCAGCCTCCGGCCGGGCACTGTAGATTGACCATTGGAAGACCGTGGTGGATTTAGACAGGTTCAGGACCTGTGTCCGCGAAGCTCAGAGTCTTTTCGTCCTTAGAGAAAGCACTTCGGTGAGGGAAGTTCCCCTAGGATAAGGGCCGACAAACTCTTTCTGTAAAGAGCTAAACAGTATGTAGTTTCTGCTTCGTGGGCTGTAGAGTCTCCAGCTCTGCCATTATAGTGAGGAAACAGTACAGATGATACAAGAAATAGAGGTGTGGTCGTGTTTCTATAAAACTTTATCGAAGCAGGATCTGACCCCTAGACTTAGCCCGAGCACAGTAATTTGCTGAACCTTGTTATCGGCCAAAAAAA